CACACACACACACACACTCACTCACTCACTCACACAGTGAGTGGTCCCGGGCCCTGCGGGGAACTAAGTCGGCGCAAGTTAGTCTGTGAGCTGGACGAGGGCTAGTGGTGCGCCGTGGCGGATCAAGTGGTGAAGTGCTCCCCCGGGAGTCGTGGTCGGAGGCCGGGACACTACGCGCACTCACTAACTTAGTGTGCGGAAGTGAGTGCCTCCGGCCGGCCGCGAGGGGCCCTTCGCCGGCGGACGGAGGCGGGCTCGGCTACTACGCGCACTAACTTAGTTTGCGGAAGTGAGTGCCTCCGGCCGGCCGGGGGGGAGTGGTCCAGCGGGCCGCTCGCAGTGCCCTTCGCCGGCGGACGGAGAGGTGGGCTCGGCTACCACGCGCACTAAGTTAGTGCGCGTAGGGTAGTGAGTGGGCCGCCAGCGAGCGGGCTAGTGGGTGAGTGCCTCCTGCCACCCCGCGCACTAAGATAGTGCGCGTAGTGAGTGGGCTGCCGGCGAGCGGGCTAGTGGGTGAGTGCCTCCTGCCACCCCGCGCACTAAGATAGTGCGCGTAGTGGGTGGGCCGCCTTCTAGTGGTCGGCGAGGCCGTGGCCAGTGCCCCGGCCCTGCGGCGCCGCCTAGTGAGTGAGTGCTCGCCGACCCTCCCCACACTAAGTCGGCATCGGTGCTGTGTTTTTTAGTTGGCGAAGGCTCCTACCAGCATCGTAGCTTTCCAGGACCTGACCGTTGGAGCAACTCGGCTAATCATTGCCGACTCCATCAACACCGACGCTTACGCCGATGGAGTATTTTATTTATTAAATGAACTCGGGGGCACAGGACGCGGTACAAACGGGGTACACCAAAAGGCACGGGCTGCCTGCACGGCGTTCACTCGAACGCCATGCACATGGCGCGGAGCAGCATCGGGTTGGTGTCGAACCCGAGCGGGTCCTCCTCCCAGTCCCGGTGCCCACCCTCCGCGTCATCCTGCTCATCGTGCGCGTCGAGCACCCTGCCGAGGCACAGGATCGTCCCCTTGGGAACGCCTGCCCCTCGCGCGCGTGGGAACTCTCCCTGCACCGCCATCACGAACTTCTCGCGCGCCCACTTGCCGCCACGGCGGCAGTGCTGGCGCGCGCGCGCGCAGCTCCTCGTAGAGCTCCTCGGCCCTCGCCACCTCCGCCGCCCAGCCCTCCGCTGACGCCTGAGCCGCCTTCTTCTCCCTGAGCGTCTTGAACACCGGCGGCGGCGCCGGCGATGGCGCCACCTCCGGCTCGCCCGCCGCCTCTGCAGCGCGCCGCCCCTTCCTCGCCTTCTCCTTGAGCCGCTTCCTAGCGCTCTTGGTCAACGCCGGCGCCGCCGCCGCGGCCTCGCCGGCCGCCGCACCGGCGATGGATGTCGAGGATGATGAAGATGATGAAGCCGTTGTCGCGTTGCAAGCGGGGCGGAGAGTGTCGAAAAAAGAAGTGACCCTGTCCGTTGTGCCAGCGCAGCCTGGCGCAGACGCCAGGCCGCGCAGGGGCGCGGCCAATGCCGCAGCCTCCCCGCTGCCCGTTTCGGGCTCCTCCTCCTTCGCCGCCCCAGCCACCTCTGCCGCCGCCTCCGCCGCCGCGCGAGCCGCCGCCGCGCGAGCCGCCGCCGCGCGAACCGAATCGCGAGCCAAGATCTTGAACTCCCTCTCGCGAGCCGCCGCGCAGACTTCCGCCCAGGAGCGCACGTCCCGGCAGCAGCGCACGTCCCGGACATCGCCACCATCCCGGCCGCGACGTGCCTCGATGTTCTCATACGCCCGCACCGTCGCCATCGCCGACGCCAGCAGCCGAATCGCTGCCCCATCGAGGAGGCAGCGTTCGTCGTAATTTGCGGGCCAGATTGTGGCGTATCCGCGAGCGCATATCACGCCGCAAGGCCCGACACTCAAAGGGTCAGGAGGCCGGTAGGCATGGATGAAGGCCGCTGATGAAGATGATGAAGCCGTTGTCGCGTTGCAAGCTTGGCGGAGAGTGTCGAAAAAAGAAGTGACCCTCTCCGTTGTATACGGACGGAGAATATGAACGTCCTGCGTTGCACGTGTGCGCCATCCTTGGGTTGCCTGTTTTTTTCTTTGGACATGCCGGCTGCTCGGATCATAGCGCGCCGCGCAAAGAAACAAAAAAGAAACTTGCTCGCGTGCATATGCAACTGACTAATCGCGGGTAATCGAAAGCAGGTGAAACGAAGGAAGAGCCTGGCGAGGCTGTCGCGAGCCGCAGCCCTTCATCGAGCGCTGCCAGAAGCGCAACTACATGACCGAAGAGGACCCCATCGAGGGATTCTCGTCACCCAGCGGCCGGTCGACTCAAGCGCCGTCTCCGCGGCGCAGTCCACGCCCCTTAACGGCGCAGTCCACGGCGCAGTCGACGGCGCAGTCCACGTTCAGCAACTGCGGCTGGTTCTACAGCCGACTTCCGCAGCTGCCAAAACGCTATTGGGACGAGCCAAAAAAGGTAGCTTCGGGTATTCCGTGGGATTCCAGACCCGTTATCTTCGTCCTGAGAAACTACGGGCTCAATAGTGCGACGCAAATTGAAGAAGGTACCAAAGCGTGGTTCAGGAAGTTCAGAACCGTCGCAGACGCCGCCCGCGCCGCAGATGCGACCGGACGTGCGACCGGACGCATGATCAGCAAGCGCGCAGGTATGTCTCGTGAACAGCAAGACCAAGAAAGGCCGCTGGTCGTGCACATCTCAGACGAGTACCCGTCAGAGCCGGTCTACGTCTTTGATAACTACGTTCAGTGCCGAGCGATTGTAACATCCCTGGAAAAGGACGGGGCTCGAAAAGTCAAGTCTCGAGCCTCGGGCACAGGACCTGCGAAGCTCCAGCGGACCTCCTCGATCGGCAAGCCCTAACCCCCTGCCCCTATGCGCTATGCGACAGCCCTATGCGCTATATATGGGACACCTCGTCGATCGCAGCGCCACGTTGGTTCGGCGATCTCGAAGGGAAGTTCGTCATCTTCGCCGCGCCGGCTGCGTCTGGCGGTGTTCCTTCTCTTTTATTACTGGGGCCCGGCGCCTTGAAGTCGTCGCGCGTCGGATAGATAGCGAGGGCGGCGGGCGAACGTGTACGGTGTACCAGCCGACCCTGTCAGTATGGCGCGCCCACCTGTCCTCCCGCGGACTGCTTGCGCTCGGGCACCAGCTGTCTCCCTCTTTCTGTCTGCCTCTCGCTCTCTGTCTCTCTCTGTCTCTCTCTTGACTCCTCTCTCTCTCTCTCTCTCTCTCTCTCTCTCTCTCTCTCTCTCTCTCTCTCTCTCTCTCTCTCTCTCTCTCTCTCTCTCTCTCTCTCTCACTCGCTCTCTCTGTCTACCGTATCGTGCATGCTTCCTTCCTGCTATGACGTGTGACCCACCCTTAATCTCCCATACGTGTTTGCGTCGAGCGTGTGTGGCGGGGTGGCGGGTCTGGCGTGTGGCGATGTCCGCGGCCGCGACCCTCGGCAGTTAAATTTTCTTTTCCGGAAGAATGTTTTCCCTGTGCGTCCGTCTGCACAATAACGCTCAAGCGCCGTGCTCACCTTAGTCCTTACTAACCCCTCTCTTGAACATGATGTTGTCCTCTAGCTGATTGAGCGACGCGCAACGGCACCGACTGCACGTGCCCACCCATGCGACAAAGTTTCCCACATCTCACACCACTCTCATCGGCGTCCCGCCGCCCTCGGCCAGCGAGGTGGGGGGGCGCTGCGAGCTGCCGGCCCGAGACGGCGCGACTCCGAAGGGGGAGCGGTGCGGCGGCGCGTAGGGAGCGGCGCCACCGCCGCCCGCAAGCGCCGCCGCCGCCGGTGTCCTCCCTCCTCCTCGCCCCGGGGTCGGCCGAGCGACGGACGGCGCCGGCGAGGCGATCGACTCGGCCTGCACAAAAGAAAGGAACCGCGTGGCGGCGGGAGGGGGCACGGGAGTGTGACGACGGCCCCGAGCTTGTGGCTGTACGGGACACGAGGCTGCGGACGGGGTGCGGGGTCTGTCTGGCGTGGGCGGGCCGGCGGCCTGCAGCGCGTCGAGCGAACGCTTGGCGTAGCGCGCCGCGTAGTGCGGCGTCATCCGCTTGCAGTCCTCGGCGTGCTGCGCCATGATTGCGCGGATGCGCCATGCCAGCTCCGCTACATCGCTCTGCTCGAGCGCCGGCGACGGCGCGGGCGACGGCGCAAGCGACGGCGCGGCTCGCGATGGCGCCGCAGGAGTCGCGCAGCCGCTGACCGCCGACCTGCTCACGGCTCGGGGTGTGAAGAGGCGCTGTTCACAGCCACAGAGTCGCGCAGCCGCCGACCGGCCTGGCGGCGCTGTCGGCGTCGGAGCAGTCAGCCTCGGACCCAGACGAGGGCAGGGAGGAGTGGATTCGGATGGTGCTTGGGTAGCCCGAGTGGAGGGCCTATTCGTTGCGCGCTGTGAATGAGCAGGTGTGTCCATTGAGGATGCATTGAGGTGCCGGCGCCTCGGGAAGCCCGGGTGGGGGAGCAGCAGTGTGAAGACGCCACCACCCGGGGTGTGGCTACGGTGCAACTGCGGCCTCGGCCTCTTTCGCCGCGCCGCAGTGCGCGCAGCTCTGCCGCACTACCACGCGCAGCGTGCCCCGTGCCGTGTGCTCGTGGCACCGCGTGCGTACGAGGGCTGCGAATACAGCGGGGACGCCACGGGGTGTGGCGGGGGACACTGCAGTGCGCCCCGCTCTTCGGAGTCGTCTGACCATGCGCGCCCGTGGGCTGACCATCTAGAGCGGAGCAACCCCACCCTCGGCCGCCTTCTCCGCCAGCAGCAACCTCGTCACCGCGTGCACGCCCTCCTCGCCCGCCGCGCCGCCGCCCTCGCCGCCGCCGCCGTGCTCGAGCCCGCCGCTGCTGCGACCGCTACCGAGCATCGCGTCGAGGCTCTGCCGCGCCGGCAACGCCGCCGCCGCCGCCGCCGCCACCGCCGCCTCTCTCGTCTTCAGCCGAAGGGACGTCTCTCTCGACTCAATCGGCGGAGGGGCCACCCCCGCCGCCCCTGCCGCCGCCGCCCCTGCCGCCGCCGCCGCCGCCGCCCCCGCCACCACCGCTGACCCTTCCTCCGCTGCCACCGCCGCCCCCCCCGCCGCCGCGGCGTCGCGCCCATTCGGGAGAGGCGCCGGCATCGGCGTGTCCGCGGCAGCTGGCAGCGCGAAGCCGAGAGGTGGGTACTCCCACCAGCGCGGCGCGAGCTCCTCGACCGCCCGCGCATAGTGAACCATCGCCTCGATCTGGCTCATGCTGCCCAACTCGCGCCACGCCTTCCACTTCGCGCGCTCGCTGCCCCAGTACGACGGCGAGCCGGCCGTGCACTGGCCGTCCTCCGCCTGCCGCTGCAGCGCGTACAGCAGCAGCCGGTCAGAGTCGCTCACGTCCGCCTCCGACCACGCGATCCCGCCGCCGTGCCCGTCGGACGCGTCGCCGACAAAGGCGCGCGCCGCCTCGTACTTTCGGGGAAGCCGAGCACCGGCGCGCCGGACGAGTCTCTGCTGCCGAGGACTCTGCTGGCGACGATCGAAGGGGCCCCCTCGACGCCCGCTTCCGCCGCACCCGCACCCGCACCCGCACCCGCCGCCTCCGCCGCCTCCGCCGCTTCCGCCGCCTCCGCCGCCGCCCCTGCTGCTGACGCTGCCACAGCCGCCGCAGCCTCCCCTCTCCCCTCCGCCGCCGCTCTCGCCGCCCTGCCTGGCACCGGGCTCGCATGGCCAGCGATCCCCATCGGCGGCGGCAACGCCGCGCCTCGCCTCGCCTCCTCCCCCGCCCCCCCGACGCCGCCTCCGCCGCCTCCGCCGCCTCCACCGCCTCCGCCTCCGCTTCCGCTGCCTCCGCCGCCTCCGCCGCCGCCTCCGCCGCCGCCTCCGCCGCCGCCTCCGCCGCCGCCTCCGTTGGCCCTCCGCGCCAGCGGCGAGGAGAGCGGCGAGAAGGCGGGAGGGACCGGCGTGGCGCGGGAGGAAGGGGTGGCCCCCCGTTGCGTGGGCGTGCCGCCACCGCGCGGCGAGGAGAGAGGCGTCGCGGCCGGCCACTCGCTCAGCGGCGGCGTCACCAACCCGCGCCCTCCCACGCCCTGCTGCGAGCTCGGCGCGGGCGGCGGGGATGCGCTGCCGCCGCCGGCCTGCAGCCGCGGCGGCGGAGCGGCGGCGACGAAGGCGCTGGCGAGCTCGATTGATGAGGCACCGGCCGACGCCTCGCTGTCTGACGCCTCGGGCAAGTCATCGGCGCGTCGGCTAGCGCGCAGCGGCGCGGCCTACGCGCTGAATGCACCGACATCGGCTCGCGGAGATGGTCTGTAATGGTCTGTGGAGGGCGCTGCGTGTATGCGACACAGCGACAGTGAATGCAGCGGAATACGGCCGCATACGGCGGGGTCCGTGACCTCTCGAGCGCCGGTTGGAGTACATGGATGCGTAGGAGTTGGGGAGAGATGGGGAGAGATGGGGAGAGATGGGGAGAGATGGGGAGAGATGGGGAGATGGGGAGGTTTCGGGAGGTTTCGGGAGATATGGGGAGATGTGGGGAGGGGAGATTGGGGAGACATGGGGAGGTTTCGGGAGACATGGGGAGATGTGGGGAGATTCCGCTTCTAAGCGGTCCGGCCCCAGTAGCGGAGGCGGCGGAGCGCGCGTGGAGGCGGTCGAGGGCGAGAGCGGCCGCCTCGCCCGCCTCCTCCTCGCCCAGGAAGGAGGCCCACCGCTTCATGGAGAGGGCGGTGGAGGCGGTGGGGCCCGCCTATTCACAGCCAGACGTGTGAAGAGGCGCCGTTCACAGCCCAAGGGGGGGGGTGCGGTGGGGCGTCGCCTCGCTGCTGCGTCGCGGCGTCGGGCTCAGCGTCGCCGCCTCCGCAAGCGCAGCCTCGGCTAGCGCCGCCCTCTCCTCCGCCTCCTCCTTCTCCGCCGCCAGCTGCGCCACCGCCGCCGTCAGCGCGCGACGCACCTCCTCCTTCTCGCGCTCCTGTTCACGGCTACTCCCTGTGAAGAGGCGCCGTTCATAGCGACCTCCTCCACAGCCCCTCCTCGCGCTCCCTCTCTGCTAGCTCCGCGGCGTGGGCGGACCGCCGCTCGTCCAGCAGCGCCTGTTCACAGCGGCGTCTGTTCACAGCGACGCTCTTCACACCCCCGACCACCGCTCCTCCCGCAGCGCCAGCGCACGAGCCGCCCGCTCGTCCGCCTCCGCCGCCGCCGCCTCCGCCTCCTCTAACGTGCCGCTGGCGCCCGCGCCTCCGTCAGCGCCGCCTCCGTCAGCGCCGCCTCCATCGCCGCCGCTGCTGCCGCCGCCGCAACCACGACTGCCGCCGGCCACGCCGTCGCTGCCGCTGCTGCCGCCGCCGCCGCTAGCGCCCTCCAGTCTGACCCTGGCGAGCTCGGCGCGGAAGAGGGTGCACCGCCGCTCCGCCCGCCCGAGCGCTGCGCCCGCCTCCGCCGCCGCCGCCTCCGCCGCCGCCGCCCGCTCCTCGGCCGCGGAGAGAGAGGCGAGCAGCGCCTAGAAGGTTCCGAGAAGGTTCCGAGAAGGTTCCGAGAAGGCTCCTAGAGGCCTCCGCCGTCCCCCTCTCGCGGTGGCATTGAGCATCATGCCGCCTCACTCGGCACTCGGCGCGGGCACTAGGCACCGAGAGAGAGAGAGAGAGAGAGAGAGAGAGAGAGAGAGAGAGAGAGAGAGAGAGAGAGAGAGAGAGAGAGAGAGAGAGAGAGAGAGAGAGAGAGAGAGAGAGAGAGAGAGAGAGAGAGAGAGAGAGAGAGAGAGAGAGAGAGAGAGAGAGAGAGAGAGAGCAGTAAGCTAAAAGTATGGCGCTGACTGCAGCACGGCGACGGCGTGCTGTGGTGTCGTGTGCTGCGGTGTGCACGGAGCCGTAAGGCATGGCCATGGTGTGGCCATGGCGCGCGCGTGGGTATGCTCGCCTGCGCACGCGGCGCCATCGCGCGGCAGAGAGGGACGAGCTCCTAGAAGGTTCCGAGAAGGTTCCGAGAAGGTTCCTAGGAGCCATCGCGCGGCAGAGAGGGTCGAGCTCCGCGGCGAGAGCGGAGGCGAGGCCGCCCTCCTCGCCCGCGCCGCCGCCGCCGGCCGACTGCCGCGCCGCGTCGCAGTACTCTGCCGCGAGCGCAGCGCACACCTCCAGGCCATCCGTGAACTCGCGCCTCGCGCCGTCCGCGCCACCGGCCACCGCTGCGGCCTCGTCGCCCGACGGCGCCGGCCGGAGCGCCGAGGCGAGGAAGGATGACTGGGTGCCTCCGATCGCGGGCGTGTACGGAGGGCCGCTGGCGGCCGCCGCCGATGCCACGGTGCCGGGAGTTGACGCAGAGCCGCCGTTGCCTCCTCCGAGTTGCGGCGTGGCCGTGTGCCGGTACGCGGAGAAGAGCGCGCGGCCGCGAGCAAGTCGCTCGGCGCGGTTGCTGGAAGTATCCGGTGTTGTTGCCGCAGGCGTGGAGGCCATCAGCGGGGAGCGAGGCCCAGCGCGCGCCGCGCTTGAGCAAAGTCTCTAGACCGAAAAGAAGAATTCGCGCGATTTTGTGTGTGTGCGAAAAACTCCTCTCGTCGCACACCAAGAGCTTATGCTCTGGCGAGATGTGAGGCGCATGCGCCCAGGAGGGGAGGGCGCATGCGTAACGACGCTGCTAGAGATGCCTTTCGGGGCCCAGAGATAAAACTTCTGATGCCATGCGTGACCTAGTAGTGTCCCCAGCTATGGGCGTGTCCACGTTGGAGCCAGGTGTGGTGTGGGCGCGAGAATAGCTCCGCCGTTAAGGTGCCTCGGGCCAGTTGGGGGGGGCAAACCCAGCCCGCCCCCTGGAGGCGGCGGCGGCAGCGGCGGCGGTACAGGGAGAGGAGTACCAGTGAGGCCGGTGGGGCATATCCCTCCTCCGGGCGGGGGGGCTGGCGATTCCGCACCACGGGTGGGTTCACCCCGTGCACTCTGCGGGTCGGATCTCGTCTCACGGGAGCCCTCCAGCTCTTCTTCGTCCAATTTCTCCAGCTTCTCCCTGAGCTCGGTAATCCGTCTCTGATGCGCATCAATCTGCAAGCTGAAGGAGGTCTTAAAGGTGTGATTGCGGCGCCACGTCTCCGCTTCCTCGTGTAGCCGCTTCATCCGTATGAGTATGCCGTTCCGTCTGTTCAGCCTCGCCCTCTCCCACCCGTCCCGAGGCCCCGGGGGAGACGCCGTAGTGATAGAGGAGACAGTCGAGGCGGGGGGGGCGGAGCATCCTTTAAGTCGGTTCGCTAGCAGTACCCGCACTGCCGGCAGGATCGCCTCCGCCTGGGGCCTAGCGAACGCATGCAGCTCCTCGCGCCGCCAGCGCGGGTCGAGCAGGAACCGCAACGGTACCGCTACCACTCGCTCGGGGGTCGAGCCGTGTACCGGGTCCGGTGGCCCGCCCGGCGCACTGATCCGTGTGGCTAGGGCCCATGCGAGGCTAGAGCGGGCTTGCTCCACCTCTAGCAATCTCACCGGCCGGCAAGGCACGGACGAGACCGTATGTGGGGTCTAGTGAGGTGTCTATGGACGCCCCCCTCAGAGGCTAGCTGCCTGCGGCTAGCCCTATATCTCGCACTCACAGGCAATGACAATCCAATGTATGAGTGTATGCAAGCAGAGGCGCGTGTGCTGATTCTAGATCGCACGCCGTGGCATATGACTTGGGAGGCGTGCGACCGTAGCGCACCCGTCGTAAGGTCGGCAGGCGCGCGTGTCAGCGAGAGAGTTGCGGGCGGAGCCATACCCGACTTCTAGAGGAAGAGCCCCGCGCCACGGTTGCCAGCCGTGCCTTCGCGGGACCCGCCCCTCGAGCCGCGTCTCGTCGCCCACTGTCCCTGAGTGCGTCCCGCCTTGGCGGCACACACTCGACGAGGACAGTCCGGCCAACGAGATCGTGTCGCGCGCCGGCGACGGTTGCGGCGTCGTGGTTTCGAGTGCGAAGCGAAGATGGCACGCCCACCGCCCTGCATCGCAGACCGGGCAAGGAGGGGCCTGCTCCCGTTCCGCGAGGAACAGGAGGTCTCCCCCCCTCCCCCGGCCTGAGCAGCGGCGGGTGGACGGCAGCCCCTTGAGTCGAGGGCGGCGCGACCATTGCGCTGCTCGCAACGGCCAGAGACCGAGGTCAGTACAGATGGTCTCGCCGCCCCGACGCGGACGAACCGCTCAAAAGAGCCTTTCCCTCCGCGAGACCTCGAGAGAGTAGTGCTGAAAGCGCCCTTTTTGATCGAAAATAGTTCCCCACTTTGCCTGACATCCACACCAGGCAAGCCAAGCACTTTCCTCGTCCGCTCGCGCTTGCCGCGCCGCATTGCGCCCGACTATGCCGCCGCGAGCTGCACGCCTAGACCCCCGCGACGCGTATTGCTCACGGAACCCGCCGCCCCCTCACCACCCCCACCACGCGATGCGCCTCGCTCGTCGCGCGAGCTGCTGTACCCCCCTCCCGGCCTCGCACCGCCTGCCTGCGCCCGCTCGCAGGTGCAGCCGCCGCCATCGAGGAAGCCGCGAGACGCGTCCGCTGCTGCCCATTCCCCACCCTTGTCCCGCGCGACCGCCCTCCCTCTCTTCTGGCAAGAGAGCGACCCGCTCTCGCTTGCGCGCCCGGCTCCAGTCCGAGCGCCGAGGACGCGAGAGAGCGTGCCGAACCGCTTCTTGACTCTCTGCAGGAATTCATATTCGATCAACATGCTCAAACTCGAGTTCGTGCCGGCCGCCGGTGACAAGCTCATGCTCAAGCTCTCTGCTCCGCCGCCGCTTGCTGACAAGCAGGTGTGCGTTAATTTGCAGTGCCTGAGGGAGGGGGCATGCACACGCGCACCGCTGCAACGCACGCAGCGCTGCGCCTTCCCTGCAAGACGACCCTCTCGCGTTCTGTGGCTGACAGGCGTCTCTGGCGGACAACACGACCGTCATCGACTCTGGCGGAGGCAACGCCGTCGGCATCCCCTCCGAGCCCGTCTCGCTCAAGGATGGCATCAACACCGGCACCGGCGGCACCGGCACCGCCAGCACCGGCACCGGCCACGTCCCGTCCAACGTCCCGTCCGAGGGCGAGCCCGGCCCGCTCAAGGACGGCATTGACGCGGGCGGCGGCAACGTCGAGGGCGAGTTGTCGCCGATGAAGTCCTCCGCGAAGGTCGGAATCGTGCCGGCTGACGACGGCCGCATCACGCTCGTCATCTCCGCGTCGGTGTCGCCTTCGCTCCTCGGA